AACACCTTTTACCCGCCAGAGCAGTACCTATTGATTTACTTGCACTTTGATGGGCTTTCGAACTGCTAGGTTGGCAGGAGCTGGGACCAAGCAACGGGAGATCACTCCATCGCGGGGATTCGAACCACCGACCTTCTGATCGGCAAGCCCAAGAGGCTCAGTGGTTTAGACCACATCACCACCCGCGCTAAAACTGAATCTATGGATCTACTGGGTCCAAAGCATGATGGATCCCCCAAGGAGCCTGCTTCTAATGCCTTTCAGCGGCTCTAGCCTGAAACAAAACAAATGTGAAAAACTTGCCCCTGCCAACTGCCCTTGTTAGTGGATCTGACATTGACTGCTTCCATAGCGGTACTCAATAATTCAAACGGTGAGAGATATTTGCTTAAAGCAGCCACCTTCTGTTGGAAATGGACAGTGGTGCTGGGGTCCTTTGGGACAGGTAGGGCAGGCAGGTTAACAGTGGGTGGAGCCAGAGCCATTGACAGGCAGAGCTAACTAATTCTGACTTTGTCTGCATCCTCATCCCTGCTAAGTTCTGCAAGGGACAACACTGGGACTCAGGAGAAAGAAGGTTATAGCCATTGCTATTGCCATTACCATTACCTAGAGTTGTAGTAGTAGAAACAGGCAGCTGGAGGGCTGGCTGAAGGCAAGCTTAGGTTAGTGAGGCAGTGCCCCTTCACCTAACAGGCCAGCCTCAATTGCAAATGGACTTGGCAGAAGAATGCAGAGAGTCTCTTCACCCAATCACTAGTTCATTGGTTTTGGTGATCTTGGCATTCACACAAAGTTGGGAGCCAGAACCTGAGCCTATTCAAAAGGTTTGTTGAAAAGAGTGGATTGGAATTTAACCAGTCTGGAAGGTATACAGTATATGCCCAAACATATTTGTTTCATGTCAAGCTGCAAGGGTTCAACATATTCAAGCGTTCAAGCTGCCTTTGCATAAAGGGTTTTGTTTTGTGTGGAGGTGGGTTGGGATGGTGTCAGATGTGTTGATTTAGTGCTTTTGATACCCCACCATTTATTTATGGGTTCAAATACGATTTATGACCCACTTTTCAAGGAAATTCCATCACCAGGTGCTTTACAATATGGACATAAAATAAAATATAATTTGTACCATTTGAAGTTATCTGTTTCATAACACCAGTAAGAGCCATCACAAAAGCAACAAATAACCCAACAAATACCTAGACAAACAGGAACCATTTCCACAGCTTGATGTGCAGTAGCCAGTAAAGGCTATGGAAAAAAGATGGCTCTTCAATACTAGTTTAAGAAAATCAAGTGATGGTAGGGCTACTATGCTGATCCTCAGGGCCAGCCCACCCAGGAGGAAAGGTGAGGTGACTGCCTCAGGTGGCAAGATCTATAGAGGCAGCAGATCCCACTATCAACCTTACTCTTTGTTCCTGCTGTATATCTCCTCTCACACTTTCTTCCCTGGCAGGATAAGGAACACCATTTTGGGGTCCACCTTGGATGCCAAAATGTCTTGGTTCAGCTGTGCTAATCCTACTGCTGATTCCTCATCCCAGAACCAAACACAGACTGGGAAACTACCAGGACCAGTCTTGGTGGTATGGGCTAAATAAGAGATACCCAAAGGCTGTTATACTAAATTCCACATGGCATTGTGGTCCCCTTCTCCATCATTCTACTTCTTGCACTTCAAGTTGAGTGCTAGCTTGATCAGCTATTTGCCTCCTGGATGCTGCTCCAATGTTGACATTTGCTGCATTCAAACTATGTGGGCTATGTTCAAGGCTGTCTGATCTAGCTTGAATGGTTGGAGACTTACCTTGGCTACACTCTTTTTTTTTTTTTAGTAAGTCATGCACCTTTATAGCAGCAAAAGAGAGAATAATAGAGAGATAGCAACTTGGCACAGATGTTGAGTCCCTGGGGCATTTGCAGCTAACAAAAGCTAGCTATTATGTTTCCATTAAAGACTTAACATATTATTTATGTAAGGCTTCTGTTTTCTTTTGCATTTATTCACATCAAGTGTCTGGAAGGAGAACAAACGAAAAAGAAGTTTGTGCACAAGTGTGTTTGTACACTGTTCATTTCAATGTGTTTATGAGAAGGAATTATCAAGGGGGTATCCTGAATTTTGGAATGGCGGGCTCCTTTTCTGTGCTATTGAGTTGTTAGCATGTTCTTCTTCCCAGTGAAGCTTGGGAGCTGTGGATGCCAAGTTATTAGCTCTGGGAAGACACCTTTCTGCTAAACAAGTTCTTAGAAACAAGTCAATGCAAGCACAGCTTGGGTGGAGTGAGATGCACAAGATTTATCCTGCAGAGATGTGGAAAAACAGCTTCTATGGTGTTAAAAGAAGCTCATTATCAAAACCAATGTTTGAATTTTGCTATAAGCTGAACCCTGATATCACAGGCTCCAAGGTTCTGCATCTCATTCTTTCCCAAGATTCTAGCTCCCTCAACCTCGGCCCTCCAGATGTTTTGAGACTACAATTCCCATCATCCCTGACCGCTGGTCCTGCTAGCTGGGGATCATGGGAGTTGTAGGCCCAAAAAATCTGGAGGGCCGAGGTTGAGGAAGACTGCAGTAGAGCAAAACTGGTGTGCATGCTTAAAAAACAAACTCAGAAGTTATGACATTAACACTTTGGTTGAATGCATCATGTTAGGACATAATTAGCAGCTGTCTCACAGACACTTAGTACTCAGCTAGATTGGTAAAGAAAAAGCGTTGTATGTGTGATATAAAACTTATAAAACTGTGACACCAGATGGCACTGTGGGGTCCTGTCTTTCCCTACTGGATTTCCCTGTATGAGTTTACAATGCATTTAACTGTAACGCTTCTTTGATGTGTCTAGATCTAGCCTTAATATGTGTGCAAACTGAAAGCAAAAATCCTGGTGAATACAGTGGGATTTACTTATCCTGACTAAACACCACGGGATGCTGCTGCACATTCTGGTTTGGTTATTTATTTATTGCATTTCTAAAACCCACCCTTTAGGCAGAACGCCTCTTGGAGCAGCTTACAAATATATGTAGTAGGTCCCTGCCCTTAGGCTCACGATCTAAAAGGACATTATACATGAAGAAAAGGGGGGTGGGAAAAAGGGGGGGAAAGCAAGCTCAAGCACAAATTATTGTTACATGGATACATGGATGTATATTCTGCTTGAAATGTGTGGTAAAAGAGTAACCTTCAAATGAGCACACAAATAGCCTTGGACTGAATGAATCCATACTAAGGTGTTTCACAGTCTCTCTCCTTCTCTTAAGAGAATTACTTTGCCAGAGAGGGTTAGAGATACTCCAATCTTGGAGATGGTTCAACATGTTTACATTGTAGGCCAGGACATACTTGAAATTCTTCAGAAATCCAAATTTCTGAACATATGTTCATTAAAGGTAAAAGGTAAAGGTACCCCTGCCCGTACGGGCCAGTCTTGACAGACTCTAGGGTTGTGCGCTCATCTCACTCTATAGGCCGAGAGCCAGTGCTGTCCGCAGACACTTCCGGGTCATGTGGCCAGCGTGACAAGCTGCATCTGGCGAGCCAGCGCAGCACACGGAATGCCGTTTACCTTCCCGCTGGTAAGCGGTCCCTATTTATCTACTTGCACCCGGGGGTGCTTTCGAACTGCTAGGTTGGCAGGCGCTGGGACCGAACGACGGGAGCGCACTGCTGACCATGCGATCGGCAAGTCCTAGGCGCTGAGGTTTTACCCACAGCGCCACCCGCGTCCAATATGTTCATTAAGTAGATGCAAAAAGCCTCAGTGAGGTGGGGGGGAAATGATAATTTATTAGGAAGTTCTTAAATTGCTGCACTGAACTCCAGTGAATTGCTGAGACAGCTCTGGCCTGTGGTTGCAATTCTCTATTTTATTTGCACTTTTTGTCCTTTCCCCTCTACTTTGTGGTTGAGAGCGGAGGGATAAAAATACACTCGGTTCATATTAATGTGTAATGCTGTGATGAGAAAAATCCCGAGGGGTTCTGAGTAGAGTGAAATTCACCAGCAATGTGAAATGACTTGCTTTAGGCAGAACCATGATCAGACTAGATGAAGGCAGGAATTCCTTTCGTCCAGAGCAACCTCTCCTTCTACCAGATGTGTGTTTGTGTGTTGGATTAGGAGATGTTCCATCCAGTTCTGGCAGTCTCCCACTGGCCACCAGTCTCATGGAAGGCTTTGCAGTATCCTTAAAGGGGTGTTTCACATGTGGGGATGAGCCAGGCCAGGATCTGTGGCACAGCTGTATGGGGATCCAGGCCCCATTGCTGCACCAGCCTGATTCAGGCCTGATCATCCTGCTCCCTGCCCCTTTCGCTATAGCTTCCATGAGTAGGAGGACTGTAGATCTGGCTATGGCTCCATAAAGCAGCACTGGTGGGGTGTGGCAGAAAAAGAGTGCCTCCTATATGGTGCAGAAAGCCTTTAAAAAACTCTTGGCCCAAATCTTGGTGATGGGTGTGCCATGTGGACTTTGCTTCAGGTAGCAAAATGTCTTGGGCTGTCACTGCTTCTACTGAACATGGCTCATTCATTCTTCCTATCAAAGGTAATGAGTGGAATGCTACTTTTGATTAGAGTGGTTACTTATGCATCCCCCAGATAGAGGAAATACATAAAATTTGCATAGGATATTTTTTGTATAGAGATGCATTTTTATTTTTTTAAAAAAATAGATATTCTAATTTAAATAGAAGCACATAGAGGGGAATACTGATCACTGTGATGACAAGTAGTAACTGTTGATGGGCAACGTCAAGGCCCCTGCTTTGCCTTCTTAGGGTACTTCATCTTTAAGCTGGGCTTGGACTGGACAGCCCTTCGAATGGAAGGTTGTCCAGTGTAAGAGCACATGGCCACTCTACTTTCATTGGACATGGTGCTCAGTACCTCTCGGGGATCTAAGTGGTCTTTGTAAAGCAAGTGAAATTCTAACTTTGACCCTTGTATTTCCTATTCTTCCCCTTCTCCCTCTCCCCAATCTCCCTCAGCTGTACAATGGAACCCTTAAAAGAGAAGCCGAGAACAAACGCTACAGCTCCTACAGCCAAATGGACGGCTGGGGCAGCCGGAACTACAACAAGGTCTGTAGCCCAACTGTTCCTGGCAGTGATTACTGCCTTGTGCAGACTATGAAGAGTAGCCGGAGTGAGCCAGACCTCTACTATGATCCTCCAAGAGGCACGCTGAGGAGAAACCAGAGTGGAAGCCGTGTGAATCACAAGACCAGTATGCATCGCCACAGCCTCTACAACAGCACAAGCAACAACCAGCATGGAATTACAACTGCAACAAGGCCAAACAAAGTAGTTCCAGTCCGCAGCCCCTCTTGCACCTCTGCCAGCATGGTCTATGTACAGCCTGTTGCTAGCAGCAAGCAGGATGCAGTCTATGGACAGGTTAACTCAAAGTAAGTTCTCATGTGTGTCCTTTCTGCTTGTGATTTCTTCATGGTATGCAGGGCAATCTACTTGATTTTCATCACCATGCAGAAAGAAAAGGTTTGCCATTTCTGAATCCCATCAGAACCTTATTCTGGTCTTTTTCCTCCTGATTTTTTGATGTGGCTTGCATGAATCAAGACTTGAGCCATTTAGTTTGCAATCCTAAACAAGCTGGACTAGACACAATGGAGCTTCTAAGTAACCATTCATAGGATTGCACTGTTTGGATCTCAGCTGGAAAGGGAGAATTCCATGTTAAAGAATCTAACTTGACACCACATTTAACAGATCATTTGTCTGTGACACTAATAATGGCAGTCAGATATTCAGCACCAATAACATATGCCTCTACTCTATCTGTTCTTCCCAAGTAAAGAGTTATGAACTAAAGGTTTAAGTGAGGTTCAAGTAATTAGTTTAGCCTACTAGTGGTAACTTTTAAATGTCTTAAGCTTTGGAGTAAAGAAAATTCCAGTGAAAACTGATGTATTCACCCTTCAGTTAGATTTATTCTGTGAACCGCCCTGAGACCTGCGGGTATAGGGCAGTATATTATTATTATTACTATTATTATTATTAAATAATAATAATAATTTTGAGGCATGTGACATGGAATCCAGAAAAATGGTTTGGAACTCTATGGAACTTTAGCTTAAAATTACAAAAAAGTCTTGTTGCACCTTTAAAGAACAGAAAATGGCACAAGCTTTTATGAACTAGAGTCCACTTCTTCAGAGGCCTGAAGTGTTATCCTAAGCAGACAAGTATGGGCTGCTGCATACCTGCTAACTTAGGATAGCTCTTCAGACTTATGGCAAAGTGGATATTAGTCCACAAAAGTCTATGTCATAATAAATGTGTTAGTCTCTATAACACCACTCATGACTCTTTTGGGTGTGTGAGGAGGAGATTCTGCCACTCTGGAGTGTGAAATTAGTTGCCCTGCCCAAACTTCTCCCTAAGAAAAGGCTAGTTACCATTGAAAATATTATTACAGATCTGGTTTATTATAGAGCTTTTAAAAAATGAGAGAGCCATTTCAGCTCATGAAGATTCATCAGCAGCATAACTGTTGAGTGAGAAACACTGTCCTCTGCCAAATGTCTCTCAGGAGTGGTCTCTTTGTAGCACCTTTCCTGATAGGGTGTGGTTCACCTTGTAGAACTGGTTCAGATTTGGGAGTTGTCTGTCTTGAAGCACTGGGCCTGGCTGCTGAATCTTCTTGCCAGTTGAACTTGTTCTTGTTGGGGAGTTGTCTCCTTTCTAGAATTGAGACTATCTGCATGGTTCTGAAACACTGTAGAACTTGAAAATTCAGTCCAATATCTAATTTGGAGAGGACTTGATGCTACTGGTAATGCCAATTCTTTATCCAAGGGAAACAGCTTCTATAACCTATAGGCCTCTGAAAACAGGATCTGCAAAACTGTTTTTAAATAATCTGGCGGGTAGGACAAGTGGGGGAGATGGGCCAGCTGCTCTTGGTTTTGCAGAGACCTCTCTCATTCCATTCTAAATAATAGTTGTGGTACCTTTGGTGACATCCCCAAAGCTCCATGCCCATTGCAACTGAACCGGTCGCACTCCCATAAATCTGCCTCTGCTTCTAATCTCAGAGTGGGTAATTCGCAAGGCAAAATGGACTTGAAAAACCTCTGACCCCATCCTTCTCTCTTGAGATCCCACAGGAGGATCCCTCCTGCAAAACTGTGCAAGAGCCCTGATGTGGGGGTGAAATTCCACCCGTTTCACTGCTCTCTGGGCCATGTGCTGCTGGGCAAAGTCACTTCACATGGAGTGTGTCCAGAACAAAGCTTGTCTGTCCCTGGTCATCCTGCAACCACATTCCCCCCCCCCGCCCCCTGTTTATGAACACAGAAGGAGGAGAGGTGCAGAGATGGATAACTGTGAAAGAACATGTCTAAACTGAGAGGCTGCCCTATTTGTTATATTTACTAAACATTTTTGTAATTGCTGTATTCACAATAGAGGAAGCAAAGTGGTTCTAGGATATGAATGTATAGTGGCTTGTAGAAGAAAATTCTTTCGGAAAGTAACTTTCTTACTTGGTGGGAAAGCCCTTAGCTTTTGCTTTCAAATAAAATATGTTAATTTGCCTAAACTACAGAAATGGTAAGGGATTGTGCTTTTTTATGAAACAATGAGACTTAAACCAGAAACAGGGGCTTGGTGCAATGATCACTAGGTAAATTTTCTAGGGTTTTTGGTTTGGTTTTTTGCAAAATGTTCTGATGCATGTTCATAGTTATTCCCAGTGTCCTGAAAACCTACTAAGTGGCACATTGCATAATAGAGCACCGTGTACCTACAAATTTGGGACAGGCTGAGGACTGAGAATGGTTATCAGTTGAGACTTGAGAATTGATTTATCTCTGGGTGTAAAACATTCCAGGATGGATTGCTACACCTAAGTATGCCAAACATTTGCACTGATATTCCAGCTCCATCAGTTAATCAACATGGTTATAGAATTATTTCTACTTTGAATATTTTATCAGGATCGAGCAGAAAAACACTTTGTTTTTATCCCATTAGCTATTTTAAGACTTGCCTAACACTGAATAGATGGTTGTGGGCCCCAGGCGCAGTGAAGCTGTGGGTGGTCAGCCCCAAGCCTTGTAGAATTGCAATAAATGCAGGAAAACCACTTGAGATTTATACAGGTCACAACTTTATTGATTACAGATGTCAACAGGTTTTGGGTGCAGGCACTGGGTGTGTAACCTGGTTCAACCAGCCCAGTTGCTGGTTGATTATTTTGGCAGGGTTAACCAAGGTTACGAACCACCCAATGACACACACCAAATCAGGGTGACCCCACCTGTGATCACCTGACCTGTCAGCACCCATCTGGGTGCCTGGACAGAAGCATTTCCACCCTGAATCCCTTTGATGGGATACCAATGCTTCTAGTCCAAAAAAGATTATTAAAAAAGGAATCACAAGTGGTAATTTTAGATTCACCTGAAGAAAAAAGATTCGCCCGTGATCTTCCATATGCACTTGTAGTGCAGAACTTGGCAGCTGCTTTTGCATGTGGCAGATGTAAATAAGTTTTGTATGAGTACACCGTGCTATCTGTGGCGCCATGCTGCAGCTCCTAGTCAAAACTCCAAGACAAAATAACTTAAGCATGTACATTCACATTTCCAAGGTCTACAGGTATACAACCATGGCTCTTTTTCTTGGGATACTCAAGGGTATGCAGTACTGGCATATTCTCCCCCCCCCCCCAACAAATGTTAAAAGTGTGGCACTTATTGTAACAACTTCATGGTGAGTACCAGCACCGTTTTTCCTATAAGCACTGCTTATATCAATTGTGTTGGTACAGAATTATCCTATGCTACCCAACTCTTGGGTGGTAGCAAGTACTTTGGGACCATAACACTCGATTGGGAGCCACCCAGAGTGGCTGGGGAAACTCAGCCAGAGGGGTGGGATATAAATAAATTATTTATTATTATTATTATTATTATTATTATTATGAATGAGGTAAAATTGCATTGCTGCCATGCAAGCCTTAGAAGATTGTTCACTTGGTCCTTTCCCTGACTTAGTTTGCTATCCAGTTGGATTACTTCTATACTGGGGTCTAGTTAGGTGGGGGGTAGAAGAGAATGACAGGACAATTTTATGCTAAAATAGGAACTGAAGAGGAAATAAGGCTGGATTACGGCTAAAAGGGATGAGGGTGGGATAAAGGTTTTGACCCTTTAATTTAGGTGAATCATTTACATCAGGCATAGGCAAACTCCGGCCCTCCAGATGTTTGGGACTACAATTCCCATCATCCCTAGCTAACAGGACCAGTGATCAGGGATGATGGGAACTGTAGTCCCAAACATCTGGAGGGCCGGAGTTTGCCTATGCCTGATTTGCATTATGGGAAATGGTGTCCTTTCAATATGGTACAGAAGAGTTGGTGGGATGGTTTTATTGAGCAAGGAGGTAGCTGGAGTCTTACCTTTAGTGTAATCTTGTTATTTTAATCTTAATGTTGTATATTTACAACTTTTTGGTTGATAGATAGTGTTTACATAGTTTATAGGGTGGGATTTATGCACTGTTCAGAGTTCCTGTACTTCCCTGTTGACATTTATCACCTAGATAAGAAGAGGATGTAACTCATTATCAGCTCTTCCACTATTTTGCTATTAAACTGCTAGGAATCTGCCTCACAGTGAATGACATTTCCTTCCTCTTTCTTTTTTATGTTTAGAATAGTCAATGATGAGATGGATTATGGAGCAATGACTATTCAGAAAGCCATCCAGTTCCTGTGTTCTTCAGATGAGAAGTACCATGCCATGGGGGCTTACTACCTGCAGCACACCTGTTTTCAAGATGAATCTGCCAAGCAAGAGGTAAAGTTATTCCTCACTACTTCAGCTGTGTGTGGCTTTGTAGGAGATGCTTTAATGTGTGGAATTATGTCAGGACTCATGTTTCCTGTAGCTCCACCAGAAAGAAGAGGAAGTCAGATTGGGAAGAGGTATCTTGTCCATTCAACACTAAGAGGTAATACTAGGGGTATAAAAGGGGCTTCTCCATTAGTGCATTGGGTGCGCTTTTTGGGTAGTTATTAGGCACACACAAAGCTCTACTTCTCTGCAAATAATTTATGTTTAAACTTCCAAACATACAACTGTTCAGAGCATCAGCTTCTGACTTCAAAATTCTTGGCATAGGTTCAGATGTGGTTATTTGAATTGATGCAGATGCATATGAGTGATTATGTTTTTGGGGGTTATTTCCAGGTAATGATAATTGAAATATAGTTGTTTTAAATTTATGTTTTCAAGAAGTGTGTCAGAATTGCAAATTCAACTGAGAAAACTTTCATTTTGAGTATTTGAATTCTAAAACAGCACCAACGTTAGCATGCATCAGTCAGATCCCATAAATGTATCAAAATTCAGCTTGGAAACAGTTAGGATATCCACTTTTGTTCCTTCAGAACAAATTGGTTATCCAATTCTGAAATTGTCACTGACCACACTTGGAATACTGTGTCCAATTCTGGGCATCACAATTCAAGAAGGATGTTGACAAGCTGGAACGTGTGCAGAGGAGGGTGACTAAGATGATCAAGGGTCTGGAGAGGCCTTATGAGGAGCATTTGAAGGAGCTGGGTATGTTTAGCCTGGAAAAGTGGAGGCTGAGAGGAGATATGATAGCCACCTTCAAGTATTTAAGGGTTGTCACATGGAGGAGGGAGTATGCTTGTTTTCCCCTGCTCTGGAGGGTAGGACTTGAACCAATGGCTTCAAGTTTCAAGAAAGGAGATTCTGGCTAGACATTCGGACAAACTTCCTGAAAGTAAGAGCTGTTCAGCAGTGGAACAGACTCTCACAAGAGGTGGTGGACTCTCCTTCCTTGGAGTTTTTTAAACAGAGGTTGAATGACCATCTGTCATGGATGCTTTAGTTGAGATTTATGCATTGTAGGTGCTTGGACTAGATGACCCTTGGGGTCCCTTCCAACTCAAAGGTTCTATGAAAGAAAGCTGTCAGACAAATATTTGACTTTCAGGACCAGGCATTGGGCTCCCCCACCCCACCCCATGCAAATAAGAGACCAATGAGGCTGGTTTTGGGGTCAAAACACACCACAACTTTATTAAATACAGATGAAAGAGGTTTGGCTTGGGCATGGGGCAATCAAAATACTGCTGGCCCAACTACTGGAAGTGACGTGTGGCCAATCCAGATGGGGGTTCCTAAGATTTACATCAAATAAGGGTGACCCCTGCAGGGACCACCGTTTGGGGGAGTGCCTTCGGCCCTGGCCCCCACCTGGGCATGCAGACATGGCCACTCCCCCTAGATCCCTTTAACAGGATACCCCAGCGTTTGGAGGGGCAGATGGAGACTACAACCTCCCCTCCATCCAAACAAAGGATTGGCCCAATGCCCAACCAGTTGTGACGATTGCTATGAGGTAGGCAAAACCACCGGGTCAGTGCCAATTAGCCCGGTGGGCAAATTCCTACCCGGCCCTCTTAAAGAACAGCAACCACCATAGCCACAGCAAAGTCATTGACTATAAGCTTAAACCGAGGGTGGGTGGGCAGGGGGGGGAAGCTGGCGAAGGAACAAACAGGTAGTGCCCCAGGTGTGAGTTGCTTAAATGGGCAAGGGGTGGATCCAAGGGAAGCCTACCTGCTCCATTGGCTCCGCCCCCTGGCACAGCCCAAGTCCCCAGCCTGCATCCCTGTTAGCCAAAGCTGGGTGCAGGCCAGGATCCAGCTAACATTGTTCATATTATCATGCCATTAACAAAAACGATACTTTACTGAATAACATAACCATGCTGTCTTCATGGGTATATTCTTTTCCAAATTTACTCAGAACAAACTTGCAATGAGGGCAAATAAATCTTGCACACTTTTGGAAAAAATACCTGTTTGGGACATATCATTTGCTCTAATATCAAACCATGATGCCTATCCACTAGGCAATGGAAGGAGCGAGATAAAAAGTATTTTGAGGAATAATTATGACCAGTAGGAAAGCACTTATTCCAAATTATTTTTTATTTATAATAAGTATTTCTATAGTGCCATGTCATAAAATATCAGGGCAGTGATCCTGATTAATTGCCTGTCCCAACAACTTAAACAATTTACAATAGACAGTTCGTTTATATTTACTTTCTACATCATGACTAGTCTGGCTTTCCTAGAGCAGCACCCATTTCCTCTTTAACACATAAGCTTTCCAGTCTCGCTTCCACCTTTTCAAATAATATTGTACAAGGGTCATTGAACCAAGTGAGGTCTAGACCAGAGCTTTCAGCAGTCAACGAACAAGAGCACACCCTTTTCCCTACGGTACATGGCATGTTGGAACCTAGACTGCTATCACCTGAACTGCTGAATTGCAGAAACTGCCCTGACTCATCAGCAAAGCGTTCCTTCCTTCACGTATAGTGAGTGACCTCTGCACCAAGGTGGCTTTTGAACCAATCAAAAGCATTGGTTCATTATTTTAAAGGAAGAAGAGATTTGGGGCCTCAAGGAACACTCTATAAACTCTTAATGCTATCATGTGCAATAGGAAGCAGCAGTTTATGCATGCAATAAAACCTACTATATGGGGCACATAGACATATATAGGGGGAGGGCGTTATTGTTTTGTATTTGTTTTTATTATGCACTTTATCGTGTGATTATTATGTTTATATTATTATGTATTTTTATTTTGTATTTTTATGCTGTGAACTTCCCTGAGCTCTACAGATGTAGGGGAAGTATACAGATTTAATAAATAAATTAAATGAATGAATATTCACAGTAAAGCCAGTAGTAGTTCAACACTGGTCACTGCAATGAGTATACATCATATGTTAACCTTCAACACGGATGCTTTCTATCTGCAGAAAGAACAAGAGAGGTTTCTTAACAGTTTTGATCAAGAAACATTTAAATCCCTTCTTTGTTAGGTCTATCGGCTTGGTGGCATTTCCAAGCTTATTGAGCTTCTCCGCAGCCCAGATGAGAACGTGCAACAGGCTGCAGCTGGGGCCCTCCGAAACTTAGTTTTCAGGAATCCAACCAACAAGCTAGAAACCCGCCGTCAGAATGGAATTCGAGAATGTGTGAGCCTCCTGAGAAGGACTGGGAGCACAGAGATACAGAAGCAGCTGACAGGTATCCCCACCCTTTTATAACAATGTTGGAGCAACTGGAACAGGAAATCACTAATACGAATTAGTGCATAAATATTGGGTTGTGTCCAACAAAGGTTTCCCATTGGCGCAAGGAGTTATACCTGCACAATGGAACTTCCTCCCTCTCTTCACTCTGTGTGCTCTCTGTGCTCCCCGCCAAACCCTGAACAGATTGGGGAGAGAAGAGTAAGTCTTGTTGTGCAGGTGGAAGCCCTCGATATAGGTAACCTAAAATTGACTAAACTTCAATATATTTGTATACAGTGGTACCTTGGTTTACAAACTTAATCCATTCCAGAAGTCCGTTCTTAAACCAAATCCGTTCCCTAATGAGGCCTCCCGCCGCCGGTGCCCTTCCACCATTCGGATTCCGTTCATAGGTAAAGTTCGCAAGCCGGAACACGATTTCCGGTTTTGCGGAGTTCGTAGACGGAATAATTCATAAACAGGACTGTTCATAAACTGAGGTACCACTGTATTGGAAAACCTCGGTATTAGTGCTTTTTCATTTAATGCAGCAAGTGGAAGAGAAGTTGTAATTTAATAAAGAAACACTTCAGTTTGTTAAAAGGAAAGGCAATCTTCTAGACTGATATTTTGGTTCCCTGGTTTTTTTCTTCACTATCCCAGTAACACACCAGAACAGAAATAAAGCTATGTGGTATCAGAGATTTCAGGCCTAGTAGACATAGATTCCCAGTATCATCCATAAGCAGGCAGTGAGGCAGGTAGAATTTATTTTAACATGACTGTAGCTTGAATGCCTTCCATGAACATTTGGAGACTCACTTTCAGAATACCTATTAGTTTTACAGTTTCCTCTTGAATCCCTATTTAGGGAAGTTTTTAATGTCTGAAGTTTTATTCTGTTTTTAATGTTCTGCTGGGAGCCACCCAGAGTGGCTGGGGAATCCCAGCCAGATGGGCAGGTATAAATAATAAAATTATTATTATTATGAATCTAAATGAGAATGACAGGAAGCTATAGCAATGTGTCTCATGTATTTGCTTTCCAGGATTGCTCTGGAACTTATCGTCCACAGATGAACTGAAAGAAGATTTAATACATGAAGCTCTTCCTGTTCTGACTGATCGTGTTATTATACCTTTTTCTGGCTGGTCTGATGGTGTTAGTACTAGATCAAGAGAAATTATTGACCCAGAGGTATTCTTCAATGCCACTGGCTGTCTGAGGTAGGTCAACAGACATATTAGTATTTTGATCATATTGAAAAAACGGAGGTGCATTTATGTTATGTATGTAATTTAGAGTGTTGATATACTGTCTTTTATCAATGATTTCAAGTCAGTATGCAAAAATTAAAGCAACAAAACAAATAATGTATGAAAGTGCAATTAAGAGTCCAAGAGTTTAAAAATTTTAAGAAACAAAGAATAGCCGTATTGGTCAACAATAAACTCTCAGAAATTGTCTACAATTGGGACAACCCCAAAAGTCACTAGAATGTTGCAAGCATTTCACATTCCAGCAGTGGGATTTGAAGTTTAAAAATTTAAGATAAAAGAAATATTTAAAAGCTTGGGTGAATTGAAAGGTTTTGTGCTTGTCACTTAAAATTCAATATATACCAGGCATACCATGCTGGGTAGAGCAATCCATTGTAGAGCTCCATGTCTGAAAAAGACTTGGAATTGTAAGCCAAAATTCCAATGAAAGTGGTATTTCGAGAAGGTCATTGATTCGCTGATTTTGCTTCCCTATTCTAGTAACAAACCAGAATGAAAATAGAGCTATAGAGGGACTGGACTCAGAGATTTCAGGCCCAGTAGATGCAGATTCCCAGTATTACTGAGAAGCATGTGAGGTGTGGTAGTTTGAGCACAAAGCTATTTCGGGTTGTAAAGGTTAAAAGGTTAAGTGCCAGCCTTTAAATTGACAGACAGCGAAGTTCCTTTAAGTTTGCATCAAGCACTGTCCGATTCTGCACAAAATGAAGCTTCTCAACCATTCTCATTGCAGTCATCGAGATGTATTTTTGTTGTATCCATAAAGACTGGAGGCGCAGGTGCCAGGTGTGTGCTGGTACTCTGACCAAACGTTCTTCACCTGCATGTTAAAAAACACACAAACCTTCTGCTTGCTCCTCATCGAATTTTAATGACTGCCTCTGGCAATGACTTTCCTTTGAATTGCCCTCCATATTGGTTTTCTTCATTAGATTCCCTAGTCCTCTACAACCACCCCTTTTAAACTGTAGGAAGCCTCTTAGTTGGGAAGCAGTAGTTTTATTCATACTTAGGAAAAGCTATCAAACTCCTTGGCATGAGCGTATTAGTCCTGACTTGCAGTTTCTCTTACTGATCTCCAGCAATGCTCGACTGCCAGCATATGAGAATCACTGAATAAGCCAGTGGAACAGTTACACAATTAGAAGTTCACCCTTAGGGGATTGAGCAGCAGCAGTTCACACCTCAAGCACACACATGAACTAAAAGTATCTGTAACTAAAAGTACCATTGTTTGCTGAAATGAAAAAGATGGACTGCATCAGTGACTGCAGCTTTCTTGGTCCAGGGGTCTAACAAGCTGATATAAGCAGCTTGCAAACTCACTGTACAATACTAGATTATTTCCATTCTTGCTTAGATAGATAATGGAGAGAGAGCTCCCTTACAACAACAACAACAACAACAACAACAACAACAACAACAATTTATTATTTATACCCCGCCCATCTGGCTGAGTTTCCCCAGCCACTCTGGGCAGCTCCCAATCAAGTATTAAAAACAATACAGCGTTAAATATTAAAAACTTCCCTGAACAGGGCTGCCTTCAGATGTCTTTTAAAAACAGGATAGCTACTTATTTCCTTCACATCTGAAGGGAGGGTGTTCCACAGGGTGGGTGCCACTACCGAGAAGGCCCTCTGTCTGGTTCCCTGTAACCTCACTTCTCGCAATGAGGGAACCGCCAGAAGGCCCTCGGCACTGGACCTCAGCGTCCGGGCAGAATGATGGGGGTGGAGACGCTCCTTCAGGTATACAGGACCGAGGCCATTTAGGGCTTTAAAGGTCAGCACCAACACTTTGAATTGTGCTCGGAAACGTACTGGGAGCCAATGCAGATCTCTCAGAACCGGTGTCTCAGTACAAAATGGAAGCATTCTTCAACCTTTGGGAGTCTGAAGGGAAAACAGTAAAAATAGCTCCATAGTGATCTTAAAACTAGTTAGAGCTTGTTTGTGTATCAGAAATGATCTCTGTTAAAAAAAATCTCAGCATCTTGACACAGTATTGTGAAGTAAGCCTCATGTGAGAAAAACCAGTGTCTTGAAGACATTAGCTATAACCATCCAAACAGCACTATTTCCTTTGATCAAACAAAATATTTGCATTTGCCCTCAAACATTTTGAAAGATTGTTTCGTCTTAATAGTTGTGTTATGAAACTTGGCAAGCATCAGACTTTATGGTAGTGTAGCTGAGCAAAAGGAGATGAGTTTGAGCTATCGAAAGGGGAAAGTTCTCAGACTTCCTTGCAACCCCTGGAAAACCAACCAGAATTGTTAAATTACAGTGGTACCTTGGTTTTCAAGCTTAATCCTTTTCGGAAGTCCGTTCCAAAACCAAAGCATTCCAAAACCAAGGCGTGCTTTCCCATAGAAAGTAATGCAAAACAGATTAATCCGTTCCAGACTTTTAAAAACAACCCCTAAAACGGCAATTATAACATGAGACCATTGATCCATAAAATGAAAGCAATAATCAATGTACTGTGCTATAAAATAAATAAGACAGTATTGTAGATGATAAAAATTAAAAAAAAAAATTCTTACCTGCACTGATGATAGTCATTGTTTGGATGGGGGGCTTTTATCCATTTCCTTAGTCACACACACACACAATCAATCAATCAATCAATCAGTAGCTGAACTGGGTTCCACACAGTCACAAAAACAAATTAACCGAAAAAGCCTCAAAAACAAAAACACAAAATAAATAGCAAAAACAAAAGCGCCAAACTTAAACCATTCCAGAAATCTGTTTGACTTTCAAAATGTTCGAAAACCAAGGCGCAGCTTCTGATTGGTGCAGGTGCCCCAGAAACAATAGCCAACAGCCGCATCGGATGTTCGGCTTCTGAAAAACATTCGAAAACCAGAATACATACTTCTGGGTTTTTGGTGATTGAAAACCAAGGTGTTTGAGTACCAAGGCGTTTGAAAACCAAGGTACCGCTGTACTTGGATTAATGAGCTTTCAGATATTATATTCACCCTCTTAAAAACATTATTTTTGAATAGTTATTTAAATGATTAGAATCAGCTAATATTAAAGCACCCTGTTTCTCTCGGCATATGCAGCTTTTGGGACCAAGCTAGACCCAATGCTAAATGCATTATTAGAAACCCTGGCTGTGTACACTCTCCCTTTTACTTTGCACCCAGTGTGCTCCCACCACTGGTTTTGGAAGCAGTGTACATACCACATTAGCCATAATCCATATCTATCCTGTATCTATCCTGCCACTCTTTATGAAATACAGCATTTTGATGTGTTTTCCCCTAAATCATCTTTAATTCAAATTGAGCAAAAGAAAGACTGAGATGTGTTTTAAGCCAGTAATATGTACACGGCCGATATTGGGCTTAAAAAGAAAAAGAAAAGTTAATAGTAGATATTGCAGATGATTTTCATTGAGGACTACAGCATGTGGGGAGGGGAGGTTTAACCATTTATTCCCCAGCTGTGATCCCAGATATTAGCTTTAGAAAGAAAGCTGCCATGAAGCTAATAGTTCTGCTTAGGAGCAGATCTATTTTGTGGAATAGGTCTGCGATATATTCCACATGCTCTCTGTATAGGGGAATTTCACCCTCATTGAATCAAAGAGAACTAGAGAGAGATTGGTGAGCGCAGTAACTGAGGTGCTTGACTGATCTGATTACTTCTCCCTTTGATTTATAAAATGTGTCTTCCCTCTAGGAACCTGAGTTCTGCAGATGTTGGACGTCAAACCATGAGGAACCACCCTGGACTGATTGACTCTGTAATGGCTTATTCTCAGAACTGTGTGGCTGCCAACCGGCCAGATGACAAGGTACAAGTCAGACGTAGAGTAATGTTTGTTCATCAGCTGATATAACTCTGGTTAACATTGCCAGAATTGTAAACCGAGAATTATTTTTACAGCAATGTCTTTTTTTAAAGACTCCTTCCCTGTGTAAAGTATTTATGCACTGACAACTGAGAGAAGTGACTGGTTATTTCATTTTCTTTGTTTTAGTCTGTGGAGAACTGCATCTGTATCCTGCACAATCTGTCCTACCGCCTTGACGCTGAGGTGCCTAATAAATACACGCAGCTCAACCACATGGCCAGGAACAGTTACACAGACAAAACCCTGACTGGCTGCTTCAACAACAGAGGTGGAAAGCTGGAGGTGAGATTTGGTGCATAGAGCTACATCATTGCCTTGTGTTAAAGGCAACATTGGATGATGATTATTTCAATTTCCCGCCCGCCTTTCACTATAAAGTCCCAGGGTGGGTTTCAGCAATTCAAAAATGCAATATTCAAAAACAGTTTAATATTAGTTTTGTGTAATAAATAAGTAAAATGGGGTTCTTTTGCAAAACATGGGTTAAAAAAGAGGGGTTCTTTTGTGAAACTTCAACTTATTAGATATTTTAATTATTCTTATTTACCCTTAGTATGATGACTATGACCTACCTCTTCCTGAAGAGGACTATAAACCCAGAGGGTCCAGCTGGTTGTACCATTCAGATGCCATCCGCACATATCTGTCTCTGATGGACCAGAGCAAGAAAGATGCTACTCTGGAAGCTTGTGCTGGAGCCCTGCAAAATCTGACTGCAAGCAGAGGACTGGTAAATGCCTTATTTTGCCTTCCATATCTGGTTAGACATCTGGGAAAGCACTTTGTTAACTGATGATAGTTGACACTCTGTGTATGATGTATGCTGGCTACCACCCCAAAACTCTAGAAATAAGAAATGCCTAATTATTTATTTTTTCTAGATGTCAAATGCAATGAGCCAGTTGATTGGTCTAAAAGAGAAAGGTTTGCCCCGTATTGCACGCCTTCTGCAGTCCAATAATGCTGAAGTAGTTCGCTCTGGAACATCCTTGCTGAGCAATATGTCTCGACACCCTATTCTACACAAAACAATGGGTAGGCACCATTTTGTATTCTACCTATTTTCCTTTCTTTACATTCACACACTTTTCTTCATATATGCCATTTCTTTTCCAAAGTCCCACTCTGCTAAATGATCAGAGTGTTTAAATCTCTTCTATCACAATACAGTGGTACCTCAGGTTAAGTACTTAATTTGTTCTGGAGGTCCATTCTTAACCTGAATCTGTTCTTAACCTGAAGCACCACTTTAGCTAATGGGGCCTCCATCCTGAAGCAAAGTTCTTAACCTGAGGTACTATTTCTGGGTTAGCGGAGTCTGTAACCTGAAGCGTATGTAATCTGAAGCATATGTAACCAGAGGTGCCACTGTAAAGTGTTCATTGGTGAGAAGCTGGTTCAATATTTTTCTGTTCTCATCAGTTTTGTGCTTTCATGTTTGTTCAAGAGCAGCAGGTCTATCTAATGATCTAAAAAGCAACTGAGAATGAGCAAAGAATTATTTACCCTCCGGATGATGCTATCTCTCTCATGTAAAATGCTGTTGGTTGGGGTTTGTGGGGGCAGGTGTGTTAGGTTAGGCTTGGTACCCACAGCCACAGCTACATGAACTTCATCACTACCTGAAGCTGATCTGCTGTGGCTCTTCCAACCTGATAATTTTGCTTTTTACCAAAAGTGGGATCTGTTGCTACAACTCCCAATGGTGACTAATATTCCCCTTATGCCCGATTGTAGACCTTATTGAGTAATGCTTATTTAGTAATGCTTATTCAGTAACCCTTTTGAGTTTTAGACAACTCAATAGCTTTTTTGAGTTGTATTTAATGGTGGTCTGTTTCTGCCCTTCAGCTAATCAGGTGCTCCCAGATGTGACTCGTCTCCTGGCCCTCCAGGCTCCAGGTTCCAGCAACTATGGGGACATTATGACATCTGCTTGCTACACACTGAGAAACCTAATCATGTCCAACCCACAAATGGCTAAGCCCTACCTGACAGGCAGCTTGATAAATAATGTTGTAGGCCTATGCCGTAATGGGTGAGTAATGGTGATGAATAGTGGGCATATGAGAGATTTGAACCATGATTTGAGTATATCCCTTTCTTTGCATATCATATATATGTGCAGCTTAGAACTTTTCCATTTCTAATTTATTTATTCCAGAACACTGATACCACCATAAGCATTTTTAAAAGGTGTGGTTAGCGTGAGTCTCAGATACCGAGTTTGTTTTCCTAAACCACTGATGGGAAACCTGTGGCCCTCTTGTTGTTATTTGATCCCAATTTCCATCAGGCCCAACCAGCATGGCCAAAAGTCAGAGATGATGGGCTTTGTAAAGCTCCTCAGCGCTGCCCTTAACTTTGAACCTGGCATACCTAGAGACTCATTAATACCATGGAATGGGGTTGGTGGTGGCTGCTGTCCACTGAATGGCTATTGTAGCTTATTTTGTAAACAACATTCTGAAGATTTGCATGTAACACTAAACCAAGATTTAGCACCACATGGATGAGCCAGAGGAAGGAGTACAGAAAAAAGAAATGCCATAGTACACCTGCAACATCACATCAAACATGTCTTTCCCATATCAGTCTCTACAACCTCAGCAGATGCTGTAACTCTCCAGTGGTTTGAATTCATCCCCAAAGGCCCACTAAATTACTTAATAATAATAATAATAATTTATTATTTATACCCCACCCATCTGGGCATCTTCCAACAAAATATTAAAATACAATAGTCTGTCAAATATTAAAAGCTTCGCTAAACAGAGCTGCCTTCAGATGTCTTCTAACAGTCTGGTAGTTGTTTTTCTCTTTGACATTGGATGGAAGGGCGTTCCACAGAGTGGGTGCCACTACCGAGAAGGCTCTCTGCCTGGTTCCCTGTAACTTGGCTTCTTGCAGCGAGGGAACCACCAGAAGGCCTTTGGCACTGGATCTCAGTGTCTGGGTGGAATGATGGGGGTGGAGACGCTCCTTCGGGTATACTAGACGGAGGCCATTTTATATTTATTTATTTATTTATATATATATATATATATATATATATATATATATATATACACACCAATATTTTACCTATAAATACCTATATATTTTATATATACCTATATAAAATCTGTTTAAAACACAACAATAATTACAATAAAAACTAGTCAATTTCCAAAGGCCTGTTGGAACAAGAAAGTCTTTACCTGCCAGCAGAACAGCAAGAAAGTTGTTGTCATCCATCTTTTTCTGGAAAGCTCATTTGCCTTCTTTCTTTTCCGTAGATCTTATCCAAAAGCAGCTGAAGCTGCTCGGATGCTGTTGTCTGACCTATGGTCAAACAGGGAGCTCCAAACTGTACTAAAACAGGTAAGAGAATAATGTGGTCTTTTTCACTGTTTCTCATAAAACAGCATGGCACTTGGACAGCCCCACTCACATAATAAAAGATGTAGCTAGCCCTGTGGTGAATGTCTCCTAAGATCATAGAAACAGTGTTTTTTTAACAAATAGTTGTGATGATAAACTGTTTTGGAAAGCATGGCTGTCATTTTGTTTCATTTTTTGTATACAGAATTGTTTTAGAGGCATCTCTTCTAGATGAAAAGGAATTACCTTTTCAGATCTTCAATATAAATAATATATACTGTGACATATCTTTTTTTTAAAAAAAATCCAATGCATTTTCTAGTGCTTTGCTAGTTTTGCTCCTCTGGTCTGCTGATGGATGACAATTAAAAAGAAAAGAACAGAAAGATACACGTCGACTAATTATGGACACAGAAGCAGAATATTCAGAAGCTTTGCAAAATGTTTTTGCATTTATATATGAGTTATTAAGTGAGGTTGCTAGAAGTCTTCAGTTGAAACCACTCTTGTGCCTTAGAGAGTTTTACATGTGCAACATATATAGTTTGTGAGTGCATCCAGACATTTGCCTGAATTTGACTTCTCTCATGCTTATATCAAAACATCTGACTCCTCATAACATAATGGTTCTTCATCTGATTTATCCTTATGTGATCTACAACCTTCCATTCTGCAGCAAGGATATGATAGAAATATGATGGGATCCTTAACAGGAAGCACTCTCAGGACCCTTTCTTCAAGGTTCTAAGAAGATACCTTTCCTGCGTGTTTGGCTTACAGGTAAACAACTGAATCAGACTTTCAAAGCTGGGGGGGGGGGGAAACCTTAGTCACATCTAGATTAGCCTCAATATGCAGGGCTGGTCAGTCATATCACTGCTGGGAGGTGGAGGGAGAGATGTGAGTTGATGGCCAGGTCGGCGTGGCGCAAATAAACTGGTAGAAGGACTGAATTGGCTCCACTGGTTTGTTTGCACCATGCCAACTTCACCATTGCCCTCCCCCACAGCAGGTAAGCAGCAGCAATACAACCAAGTGGATGACAGGGGAACACTCTCAGGCCACCACATCGTCCACTGCTGGGTACAGGACTCAAGGGAAACCTCTTATCTCCCAGTCCCAAAAAAGGTTGTACTTCCACGGGGTTATCAGTGGGTTAAGTTGCTGCCTTAAGAACTGGGACGAAGAGGGAGAAGTGAAGGATTATTTAGGGAGCATATAGCACCCTCCCATTCTGAGCGCACTGTGATCTGTGTGCAGCTATGATCTCATGGCTCAACAGAGGAGCAGCGGGAAGAAGACTCGGTTGAGTCGTGTCCTATCAGGGGTGCCAAGTTGAATAAAATATTGTGGGGCCCCAGAGATAAGCCTCACCCTGCACAGTGCAGGCACACCATTTGAATGGGAATGCCCATCAACTTTGTGGGGGCCACGGTCCCCTCAAATACTTTATGGTGGGGCTGAAGCCCCTAGGATTTGACTCCTATGTGTGTTATGTATTCCACAGGTACAACTGCGCATTAAAGGCGCACAGGGGCATTTCTCAATATGTACATAGGGGCAGTGGCGTAGCGTGGGGGGTGCAGGGGGGGCGGCCGCACCGGGCGCAACATCTGGGGGGGGCGCTCACACTCGCAGCTCTCTGCCCCTACCTGGCTCACTCACTCTCTCTCACTGCAGTGCTGGCTGTGCGAATTCGATCCGAGCCGCTGGGTCACCGCCCACTGTGGAGGGGGTGGGTGCCAGGTGCGGAGAGAGAGCGAGGGACTATCTGGGGGAGGGACAGTGCAGCGGCCGCCCAGCGCAGCGCTGAGCGCGGGAGAGAACCACACCAGACCAGACCAGGCAGCAGCAAGGAGCTGGCAGCAGCGGAAGGTTAGGGGTTAGGGGGCGCAAATTACTTGCCTTGCCCCGGGTTAGGGGGCGCAAATTACTTGCCTTGCCCCGGGTTAGGGGGCGCAAATTACTTGCCTTGCCCCGGGTGCTGACAACCCACGCTACGCCGCTGCATAGGGGACACTTGGAAATGACTAATTCTGCAGTCTTTTTCTTTCAGACTTTGTGACTCTTTTCCGCCTAGAGGCCTCTGCCGTCAAGAAATTGTTTGGACATTAACATACACACAGAGAGAATGTTGCCAGATTTCAAGACACTTGTAAAACTAGGTACAAAAGCTGTATTGCCTGGCATATCTTAAAATGTTCTAATGGCTGTTTTAAATATTTCTTTCATTTTTTCTGGGGATAGGCTGGGAGGCTGGAGGTTAATGGTACTTGATGTCAATTGTTAGTATTTTTTAAAACAAACAAACGGGGGCTTACAATTTCGAGAGGTACAATGAATAAGTTAGAAACCTACCTACCAACTGATGCTATGCTAGGAAACTTTTAAGGAGGTAGCACCTATGTATGTATATATTTAGTGGGTGTACGTATATAGAGTGGGAGAAGTGGAATTCCAGTGTCACCAAAGGCATTTGGGTGCCATTCAGTTGTCTAACAGTGCAATTCAATGTTTGTTTATTTGGAAAACTGAGTTCACTGGGGATTACTCCCATGAAAATGTGCACAGGATTGCACAACCTAAAGGGTTGGGAGTCAGCCCCATTGAACATAGTGTGGTTTCCTTCTTAATAACCATGCACAGGATAGTGCTTTAAGTCCTTTTTATTCCTCATTTTCAACAAATTATGTAAAATTACTAATACCTTATGTGTTTCTTTCTTTGCCAGTGGTCATTCTACATAGATAATTAGTATAGAGCTCCTGTTTTAGATTGCTGAAATTATTTCTCCCTAAACTTTACTGACATCACAGAGTTTCTTCTGCATTCATCTTTTTTTTGGGGGGGGTGAGGGTGTGGGCACCAGTTCTGCTTTCGTATTCCATTTTATGGCTAAGCATTTTTCTCCCTATAGGTCACTTAGTTTCCAAATCCCAAGAAGCAAATTCATGTCAGATAAATTTCTCCTGAACTGATTCTTGATAGTTTTTGAAAACTTTATTTTTATACTATATATAAGTAATGGATTGTGTGGAAGACCCCCAAGGTCTTACTAAGGATATAATCTACCACAAGCTTCTATGTGGCTTTTCAAAAATATTTGCTTTACCAAAGTCGGATTCTTGCTATTTCATAAATCCGTCAGCTGAACAAGTCTGCCGATATATACTCAGAAAAAAGAAAAATAGACGTGATCTACTCTTTGAGAAGTCCTGCCATGTTCACTCAGTAGCACAAACAATTTCCTCTCACCCAATGGAACTTTCCTCTCCTCTCCTCTCCTCTCCTCTGCTCTGTGGGCCCCCAAGCCCCCTTCACAGGGTCTTCCAACCCTCTGAAGTAGATTCTGAAGATGCGGGGGGAGGACATAGAATTGGATTGGGGGTGAAGAGAAAAGGAAAGGGAAACGCTCCATTGTGAGAGCAGAAGTCTTCTGACTTCACTTTGTACACAGAGCCTTCTCCCAAGGCTCATGAGTAGGAACCAAAATGAAATTACAGTGTTTAACAAGTAGCTATGAAATTGAACTGTTTCTTGTCAGACCATTTTAGAAGCTTGGGAGGAAAGGGGTGGTGGTTTTCATTTTTATTTTATTTTTTAAAAAAGAAATATGTTCAAGCAGTTTCTGCTGGATCTAAAATGGATTTGCCCTATGCTTTTCAACTACCATTTCAGTCTTCACACCTCAGAGGCATCCTGTCATAGGTTTTTGTACATTTTTCAGTGGTGTGTTGTAATACTCCTGGGGTGGTTATGGCATTTTGTAGAGGAGCTTTAGCTTGGGCAAATGGTGCGTCGTTATTCAGTGATAAAAGTACATTTATGAAAGCAAGTTGCTGTGTCATTCCAAATAAACGACAAAGATAAGTTAATTCAAAGAAGTTGAGGGCGGGAAAGTTTCCTGTTCCCTCCTTCTCCCTGCAGATATTTGCAGTCTCCAGGTGGGGAACTCTCCAGAGGATGGGGGACTCTCCTGCACATTGTAGAATGACGTGCAGGGGAAAAGGAGCCATCAGGCAGCTGAGAGAGCACAGACCTAGGGAAGAAGTGAAGTCTTGGAAAGGAGGACTGGGACAAGGAGTGGTACAGAATAATGGAGAGGAGTTGAGAGGAGTGGAGTTGAGAGGAGTGGAGCTGAGAGGAGAGGGAGGAATCTAAGAGGAGAAAGAAACTAGGAAAGAGAATGGGCAGACAGGAAGGTTGCACATGGCCAGGAACTGTAGAAATGAACAGTGTTGCAATTTACCTTTGAATGTACCAATCAAATGTATCGGCAGTAGGTTTCTGGATTACATGTGCTTTATCTCATCTTCATCAGTTTGATTGGTTCCAAGTTTTCAGAGGACCCTCAGCAAAATCAACTCCCTCCTAACTGACAGGGACATGATGCTGATGTTTAATTTCCCACAATGCCTATGTTGCATCACTCCATGGTATTGTGGGAAATGTAAAAGTGGTGCCCAGTGTTGATTTAGAGTCCTGGCTGCTGGGGGGGGTGTAGATGAGGGGGCAGGCACAGGTCACATGTCATTAGTAGGCCCTACCAGAGTCAGGTCCCAAGAATTGCTGTGTGGTGATGCCAGACCTGGTCATGAACTACATTTTTAACATTTGATATTTTATAACGACAAGCTACTAATAGTCTTAATAGTGTTCATATATGTAAGCATAAAGTGTGTGTCTACACATACACCAGATTTGTTAGCAGAATGATTAGCAGAATGATTATCATTGAGTTAATAGAAGGCTTTGGCACAACTAGTCAGTTATCAGATAATCAAGAACTACCTGTCATCTGCACTTGCCCTCCATAAACCAGTTTTGTCAATGTTTGGCATGTAGTAAGAGAATCCTTACCACTGGTATCGTTATGCTGTTTAGCAAGGCAAATTGATCTTGGAGATCTACGTGAGCAGTAATGTCAAATGCTCTACAATGGCTCATGATCCCTGATCAGCCCTCTTCTCCTAACTTATTATCCAGAGAGAAATGGCTCCAGTGTATATATCATTTGCTAGCACGGAATGGATGGATAGAATATTATTTGCGAGGATGGGCTGAACATTTCTTTTGGCCCTGCCACATGAGAAGCAAGATGCAACAGGCTGATGTTTGCATAGGACATGAGTCATGTAAATAAATGCTAGAGCCTGTTATGACCTCAAGATAGCAAAAAGTGCTTTCCTTATTAGGGCTTGCTTTGTTTTATGCATTCTAAAATGCTAGTCAAAGGATGTCTTGGATGTCCAATGCATCATTTCAGAAGGCTCATGGGCACAACTAGAAGAAATGAACTTTTGCAAGCTTACTCCTCTGTTGTCTTAATTTACTACCTTTTATTACCACCCATATCACTAACCCAGCTATACAAAGTATTCTGTAATATATATGTACAAGAATCCCATGTCAACTTTGTTTTTTCCTGTACTGTATGTGTATTTGCTTCATTGGAACATCTGAAATCAATAAAGAGTTGGGAGATCTTTTAACTTTTCACCTTGGCTATTGTGCTTACTTTGCTTCTTTCTGCCACCAAATATATTGATAAATAAAGCAACTTACTTGAATAATTCAGTTTTCTTCATTCTGCAGTTAGTGGAAGACTGTCCTTTCTTCTAAAGATCTCAAAACATATTTCCTATTATGCGCCATCAGCTTTGTGCAGCTTTAATGAAAGACAGAAGCAGGAGGACTATGGTGGTAGGTGAGGACATGCCTCAGTCTCACTATAGATCACAGCACTGCACTTCTAGGAGCTGCTATCTATCCTGCTTCTCCATCAGGGCATAAATACATTCTCACAAGCCAGTGGTGTATTTCAGCAACATGAACTCCTTAAGGAGGATGGTTATTCTTGGACTCCCAGCCTTGTGGATCAGCTTTAAAAAAAAGGCTGTTTTCTTAAGGACAGTGGATATTCTTAGAGTTGGACTAATTCAAAAACATGGAAGAACATGGGCATGTAAAAAGGTAAAAGAGTACTGGGAAATGATTTATAATGAACTGGGGGAAATGTTTAAAATCACTTTCCCCCTGCCCAAACCAGAGTCCTTTCTCCTGGGGGATAACCCAGACTGAAATCCCCAAGTGTCAAAAAAGGTTTTTTATGTATACAGCAAGTGCAGCCCGTGTTTTGTTAGTTCCAAAATGGAAAGTGAGCGAGGTCTCAGCTAAAGAAGATTGGCAACTTAAGTTGACAGAATATGCACAACTTGCACATTTAACATATAGAATAAGAAGAACATACTTTTAAAGAAGAGAAGATTGGAAAAAGTTTATTGAATATATGGAAAATAACTGTGTACAGCTGAAAACGCTGGCAGCATTAAGATAAGTTGAACAGAGTAAATAATTTTTGATGGAGAACCCATTGGAATAGTTATTGTAAAATATGCAGGGAGGTAAGATATGCAAAATGAACCATGGAAAGAGAAGAAGGGAAGTCATTGGATATTTTAAAGTATGTAAAATGTTTATTTGAAATTATATAACAGAAAACTTTATAAAAAGTACATATAAAAACAAAAACTAAAACACGGAGGAATAGTTCTACACTCTCTTGGAGCAGCGAAGAGAAATCTAAATGATGAGCTGGAGGAGGGAGTCTGGAAGTATCTTGCACCTCACCTAGCAATTTCTTTTTGTCTGGTCAAGATGCTTATCTTAGGGTTGCCCAATTGCTATCTAGAGAATGAGGATTTTCCATTTCAATGCACCAGTTAAGTGAGAAAGGAGATAGCGCCTGCCCATCCCTCTGGTTGTCATGGTCTCCACCCTTCTCCTCTGCCTGCAGTAAAGCAAACCCTCACTGCAGGCAGAAGGGTGGTCAGACAAATGGGCGAAAGAAGCCACAGTGATCTCATCTCACTCTGGATTGTGCACGTTTAAAGCAAAACACTTGCTCTTCAAGTTGCAATGTTGCGCTTGAGGCCTGACTTACATTTGGAGAACCCAAGGCCTGTGATATGGTATACCTGGTGATGACGGGAGGCTGTTGGTTTCTTCCCAGGGCTGCCATTTAAATACAGCTTTACCAACATTGACTGGTGCTACCAGTAGCATCAGTTGAAGATCTGCAGTAGCTGTTCAGAGAAAAAAGCTCCATATAGACACTTGCAAATGTTAACCACACTCCTTCATCTGAGCAGGGAGTGGTGGAAGGAATTAGATACACCATGATAAGAAACTGTAGCATTGGCATCTTTTGAGAAGGTGGTTTTATTTTTCCCTTACCAAACTGGCTTGCAGACAGTAGCAGCTTGTGGAGACATGACCAGATGAAACAACTGCATATGAAAACATAAATTAATGTAAGAAATGAATAGTCCTCTGCTCCTATTGGCTGCCCTGCTTTCCCGATTGCATCTGGTTTCACTCCAAGGATAGGAGGGGATAATAGGCCTGACGCTACACCAAAGCTTGGAACCTGCAGCTGCATGCCTGTTGCGGTGAAGCAGATGCCATGAGGATCTCACAATTTCAAAGGGAGATGCAAGTGTGTTGACACAGCAGTGTTAGAAATCCCACTCCCCTTTAAAAAGAAACAATGTAGTTGCCACAGAAGCACTAGAGCCCAAGAGAAATTGGCTGGAATTTCAGACCAACCATAGGTCCCATACCTATGTAAAGCAAAATTAAGTACAGTAATACAAAATGACCAGGTATGCTTGCATCATTTTCTAAGCTAGGCCCTTCTTGTGTCTTCTCTGTAAATTATACATCATCCCCAGGCTAAAACCATCTAATTGTCTTTCTTTCTTTCTTTCTTTCTTTCTTTCTTTCTTTCTTTCTTTCTTTCTTTCTTGGCAAAGGCATATGTTAGGTATTTTGTTTCATTTCTAAGTTGTTTCATTTTATACTTATATGCCGTTACAGAATTCCTTTGAACACCACCAAATTGCACCGGTTAATCCTTTGCCATATGATACAAAATGAAGCTTTGTGATTAAAAGTTTAGATCTAGAGTTTTTGAAGCATGCAGGTGCCTGGATTATATCATTGGAGGTTATTTTGCTTAATATCTAGTTCACAGTCATATCAGATCTTCTCTTCCATGACAGTTTGAGTCTGACGCTTAATAATCAGATATCATTGCGTTGTTGGTGAGCTTTAGCACTGAAGCATGAAACTTTTAAATCCTTTCTAAGTGTCTGTATACAGCAAGTATGCTAGCCCTGACTGATATGGAGAAACATAGTTCATATTCACTTCTTGAACTAAATATTCAACATAGGTCTCACTTTGTGTCAATGAATATATCCATTTCATATTTTAAAAATGCTTCTTGTATTATTGTGAATGTTTTAGGAATTTGCAGAACAGATAACCTATAAAGATTTAGGCTACATTCCCATTACAGCTTTCTCTACACCCACTGCACTCCCACTGCTAGTTTCTGAAGCTGCATTCACATGGGATTAGCCAGAATAATCCTGTAGCTCATTGACAAAAACTGCAGTTTGATGTGATTTCCCCCTCAAACTCGCTTCAGTCCAACTACAAATCTGGATGTAGAGAAAGTGATAACACGAATATACCCTAACAGCCATCACACACCCACAGGTGAACTTACGTGGACAGATGGCAGCTTAATGAATAAAAGTTTGGTGGGGGGAATTGCAGCAGGGACCAAAAACATCATTCCCAATGGGTGACATCATCATCACCCTCTCTCTAATGTGGGCAGTGCTGCAAATGCAATTGGGGGTGGGGGTGGGGAATGGCCTTGCTGTGTTCCAAGCTGCTAATAAGTACATACCCCTAGTGGTGTTTTTGCGAGTCACAACATGAATGGAGATTTCTCGACACTAGATCACTGCTCAAAGGTGATATGGCAGGATTTGTCATGTAGCATATCAAAGAAGCTGACACATCACATCAGTTGGCTGAGGCGAGTAGTTAAACAAGATTCCTTAATTGAAATCTGTTATCTGGGACAGAGAAAGCCATGCAGGCCCACCAGATGAACACGAGATATGATAGAAGAACATGTTTGAGGGACACCATCTGGTACTTTACAGGAAGTCATGGAGTGTGGAGATGGCTCCCAGACTGTGCACAGAAAGGTATTGATAATAAAAGAAAATGGAAGTTTCCATGTACATATGTGATATTTCAGTCTGCTGTACTGTTCTTTTGTTGTAATATGAACAGTTTAATAAAGATCATGTATTTTTTTTTAAAAAAGAATAAATTACTGTAATAGACCCTCTGAACCTTGAAATCCATTTATTCTAGTCTCTGTCCCAAAGAAATTCAACATGGGAGCTAAATACTAAATCTGCAATTTCCCATAGAAATAAATACAGGCTGCTCTTCTGTGTGCCGTGTTGATGTTATCCAGCATATCTATTAGACAAGGGCTGTCTCCACCCCCATCATTCTGCCCGGACGCTGAGGTCCAGCGCCGAGGGCCTTCTGGCGGTTCCCTCATTGCGAGAAGCAAAGCTACAGGGAACCAGGCAGAGGGCCTTCTCGGTAGTGGCGCCCACCCTGTGGAACGCCCTTCCAGCAGATGTCAAAGTGATAAATAACTACCTGACATTCAAGAGACATCTTAAGGCAGCCCTGTTCAGGGAAGTTTTTAACATGTGATATTTTATTGTATTTTTGGTTTTTATGGAAGCCGCCCAGAGTGGCTGGGGAGGCCCAGCCAGATGGGCGGGGTATAAATAATAAATTATTATTATTATTATTATTATTATAAAGATGCCTAATCTTTTAATGTTTGCTTATGCCATCGGCTGCAGCAGAATGCACGTCATTCTGCCTCATTTTCCCTTTGTAAGCACAGGCAGGTACAAAGCTCTGCTGTTGTATGAAATTAAGTCACTTCATCGTTTGAAATAAAGTCAAGATAGCCAAAGGCAAACCTTTTATATCTCGCAGCAGATTCTCAGGAAAGTTTAAGCAGAGTGACATTTTTATACTTTGGAATGAAGTAATTGCCCACATAAATCATGGCCACAAAACTTCAAAAAGCTACTGTAAAACTGGAATAGTAGTACCCAAGTAGAAAAGAATATGCCAACCAGATAGAAATCAGCACAGTTGTGCCTAGCAGTTTCCTAAGAGGAGCTATCTATGGAGAATTCCATCTAATTCCCTGCCATTCTTAGGCCACATTCACACCATATATTTAAAGCACCATGATACCACTTTAAATGGTCATGGCTTCCCCCAAAGAATTCTGGGAGCTGTAGTTTGTTATGTGGCTTAACAGTCAATCTCTCTTCACAGGGAGCTCTGACATTGTAGTTCTGTGTGGGCAATAGTTCTCCTAACAACTCTCAGCACTCTTAACAATCTACAGCTCCCAGAATACTTTGGGGGAAGCCATAACTGTTTAAAGTTGTATCACAGTGCTTTAAATGTATGATGTGAATCTAGCCTTAATCCTGTTGATGCTTTTATCCAAAAATATTAAGGCGCTGGAAGATGACCCCTTGAGCTTTGTTTCACACCACAGTTGCAGCTGAGGCCCTTTTATGGAGTAA